AGTATTTTTGCATATCGAAAAATCAATTACGGTTGCCATCGGTCGGTTTCCACAGATTTAATAGCTACTGATTGTTTCAGACTATTGTTGACCTCCATCTGTATTCGTTGTTTTGGCGCAGACCTTTAAAAAATACTAAAATTTAAACCTAGCAACACGTGCATTTATTATTACGTCAATATAATATGATTGTAGCAATAGTCTATCTGTTTTTGAAGTTTGAATTTTAAGCAACTTTTTTATTGCCCTTGTAGGCAGACGTCAAATCAAGTCGGCAGTTGGCGGCTGTTTACATGAGTGTACCAGACTCACAACAAACCGAGAAGAGTGGCGATTGCTCGCATAACATCTGCCCACAGCAATGATACTGATTAACGACCACGACCGCTCCGGCAAGAGTGATACGACAAAGGAAAAACGATAAGCCATCTGATGGTGAGTGGTTATCGTGGCTCATGGACGTCAGCAATGCCAGGGGCCGCCGACTACCGCTAAGTACTCTCCACAAGCCTCGTTTGAAGAAGGACATTATGTCATAGCGCTCGGGAATCATCATGGAAGTGAGTTCATTCTAAAGCCGGTTTGAGGTGGTATGGATAAAATTAGCTTAGGTGGCGGGCGGTACGATGATAAAAATGAGATTATGGGACCATATTAATCAATTCCTCAGAGCATTCCCCAAGGAACACACGGTACAAAACACGGACAAAGCTTCTCAATAATATCGTGCATTCACTACCTATGTAGATGGTTGGACGAGCTCACGGCCCAACTGATGTTAAGTGATTACCGGAGCCCATAGACATCTACTATGTAAGTACCGTCACCCACCTTGAGATATGAGTTCTAAGGTCTCAGTATAGTTACAACGGCTGCCCACCCTTCAAACCGAAACGCATTACTGCTTCACGGCAGAAATAAGCAGGGTGGTGGTACCTACCCGTGCGGACTCACAGCTGGCCCTACCACCAGTAATTACACAAATTATAATTTTGGGGGTTTGATTTATATTACACGATGTTATTTCTTCACCGTGTAATTCAATGTACATTTGTTAAGCACGCATTTCATTAGAAAATTGGTACCGATTGGATTCAAACAAATGTGGAATGATTAGCAAAATGAAGTTTGTTGTACCACGAATTTGAACAGGAAAATAATTTGTGGTTAATCTTAATTTTTACTGGGAGGTACCATTTATATGAAGTTAGGTAATTAAATACAGGACAATTCTAAATTCTACCCTGCCAGACACCTACAGTACACCAGAGAGTACTTTTCTATTATTGTTGTTCTTTATAAAATAGATACATGCGTATTTTTTTAAATATTTATGTGTGTTTGTGTATTGCGTTTTTTTTTTTTTTACTCATTTGTGTATATTTCATAAACAAATACAATTTGTCAATCTTTTATTGGAATGCATCATTGGAACCATATTGCAATTGTTCAATATCTTTAAATTATTATTATTATTACTACGTACTCTAGTAGTAAACTTTTCTGTTTATAATCACTTAATCAAAAAATGAAAAAAAAAAAAAATTATATGTGCCGATAATTTTTTTTTTAAATTTACATTTAAATATATACCTATGCCTAAAGATATTTCTCGCCCGGACTGTGATCGAATTCATATCCAATAAAACATTGAATGGGATACTTTATAATATTCTATTGAAAGGATACGATTCCTTTTGTTATGCAAATAATATATGTATGCTGTATTTCCGCTCGTCATGATCGCACCTTTGATCAAGCGTGGTATGACAAACTATTTCATTTCATCACCGCCCACTGGGCTCAGTTGGTCAGTAGATGTGATAGCCAGTTATAATATACTATCTTAAAGAATAAAACCTTAGGTATATTATTGTCGGTAGAGTAGAAAAGCTTCGAGCACAACAAGTGTGACTTTTTATAGATACACTCAACTAGGAAGATAAACTAACACTGCTCTCCCTTTCCGCTTGCTGCTTGGTTAAGGCTATCTCATAAATTAGTAGGTGATTATGAGAGCCTCTAATATATCTCTCTAATAACGATACCTACGAATGGCACCACCCTCCTTGAGAAATAAGGTCGTATCTCGTGATCGAAAGTAAAGTTATAGGTGACATGTGTTGACAATTTAGGGTAGGTACGTAGGTAGGTAGGTAGGTACAGGGTAGGTACGTAGGTAGGTAGGTACGTAGGTAGGTAGGTAGAGGGTAGGTAAACATTTATCTTTAAAAATTAACAGTGTGGAATATTTAAATTAATTTAATATTATTTTTTGTGTCTAACATGTTTTCTTTTGTAGGATTTTTATGTATGACCACTCAAATTATTTCCAGGTGGGTAGGTTTGCTATTGGAAATTTATTGGTCGATATTTCTGTTCTTAGTTTAGCTCTCTCTAGCTCGTAGTTCAAGTTAAGGGTCACAATTATAGTGCACATTTGAAATAATACCAGCAATTTGTCATTGGAATTATTAGTTCAGCCTTATTTGCAATGTTTGTTCCATTAATCTGCCGAAGCACAAGCAAATAAATCTTCAAAAATCTGCTTAAGATTTATTTGGCAAACGAAAATATAATCAAGTTTCAGAAATTCGCGCAAATTTAAGTGGCTGTCGATTTTCCTTCGTCGGAATGCTCATATCCTTTTTCTGCTTTAAACTTCATTACTTTTAGTCCTTTCTTATCTCAAAAGACGCTTTGAGTGTATCCATCACACACATATTTTATCCCTGAGATCATCAGAAAACATGCAATTAATGATGTGAGTACGTATACGATAGTTTTATGATCATTTCTTCACTGTCCATGTATGTATACGACACTAAATTCCTTCAAAATACTTATTATGGATTTTATTAATTATTATCCAATTAGTTATCAATCTATTTTAATATAATATGTATTAGGGTTAAAGTCTTATTAGTTTATACAAAAATTGCTTTTATGCGTCATAGGTATTTTGTAAATGTATGTTTGTATTTTTAAATGTAAACTGTATACATATTAATTTTTTATGTGTATTTTTAAATACATATTATATTATTTTTCAATTGATAAGTACACCGCGGTTAATTTATTCCTGAAATGAATCTTGCACAACTGGTGGTTGCCTGGAAGAGATCGCGATTTACGATAATACCTGATTTTATTTTGCTCCATGAAGTTTAATTACATTCAAGTTTGATTCACAGCTTCATTTCATTGTATTTCATTCCATAATTAATATCATTTTACACGGTTTTATTTAAAAATATTGGGATATTTACGCAATTTTGGTAGTACCTACAGATAAGCTATAAACTTTTCATCGATTTCCTCGAGTCGTAAGTAAAATTATTTTCTAGATTTAATCTCAAATATCGATGAATTATGTTTAGTCGTCAGATCATGACCTCTCAATAAATTCTTATTATTTGACTGAGAGGTTATTTCATATCAATATAACTAACACTTATTTTATCTCACATTATACACGCACCGCCACAAATATAAAGAGATGGAGAAACCTTGCAAAAGCCGCAACCAAGCAATAAGACAAATACATAGCCACGACCACTCCGCCAGGAGTGTACGACTGAAATGAAGAATAATTTCTCTTCATTCCATTAAATTCGGTATTTTATATTTATTCGGTATTATATATTATATTAGTTTTCTGTTTAAAAAATGGCTTCAGTCTTTGTTGGAAAAATTTGGTAGTATGGGCTGTTGGATGGTTATATTCGAGGGATTGGGTTCTGCAGGTGATGAGGGGCTATTCAAAAAACACAACTGCTTCATTATAATTATATTGCAGATAGCTTTAACACTTTTACACCATTATACAATTTTTATCTTTATATTTTTTATCAAACTATTACATGTTTTTCATGCCGTGTCTAGATGAGAAGTCACTGACATTTTCTTACGAGAATACAATGATCTGTTTTTTAAAACATTTAAAATCATTCTAATATTCGAAATCTAATCAAGTGTCAAGTGTTGCCTGCCATTACATTTAATATACAAACTCCAACACACCCCCTCAACACTTGCACACATTTTTCTCAGTCTATAATTTAATACCAAAAAAGAATAACACTAACCTAACCTTCATAAATTAATTCTTTCCATACATACCTAAAAAACCTCNTTGTTCCATTTTCATTTCATTCTCTATTATTTCGCCTTTCAACAACATCTTCTCGAACTATACGCCATTTCTACTTTATTACACTCCATTACTATTATTTCCTCTAATATCACCTTCTCGAACTCCACTAACTCTCCATTTCTTCCTATTTCACCTTCTCGAACTTCATTAACTCCATATCTTCCTCTAGCACCTGCTCGAACTTCGTCAACTTCGTCTTCACGATTATCTTTATTCGTTACTTATGTTAGTGTTCTCCCTTTCATTACCTTATCTCATGCTCTTATAATAATTTTCTGTTTTGAATGGTTTTATTTTCATTAAATTCATTACATATTGGTTGCTAAGAAAAAATTTTACAAACAGTTTCGTTTCCATGGTGATGTTGTAGGCGTAGGTGATGTTTTAATCAGCAAACTATAATAAATATTACCTTATAAATTCTGGTCTGGGCCCATAACCTGTTGGATGGTTAAATTTGAAGGATTGGGTTCTGCAGGTGATGAGGGGCTATTCAAAAAACACAACTGCTTCATTATAATTATATTGCAGATAGCTTTAACACTTTTACACCATTATACAATTTTTATCTTTATATTTTTTATCAAACTATTACATGTTTTTCATGCCGTGTCTAGATGAGAAGTCACTGACATTTTCTTACGAGAATACAATGATCTGTTTTTTAAAACATTTAAAATCATTCTAATATTCGAAATCTAATCAAGTGTCAAGTGTTGCCTGCCATTACATTTAATATACAAACTCCAACATGGGCTTTGTTCCTTTTGCCAATAGACGAATAAAAAAGGGTTAAATAAATTATGCGTGAATTTGTTTGTAAACAATAAAAGAGCGCTGTTGATCTTAAGTCTCATTAAATGTTAATATTAAAGTTACTTTTAAGTACGGTGTTAGATTAGATTTCTACTAACTGCCAAATGTGAAAATATATTTATGCAAATATAAAATGCCAGATAACCTATCAAGTGTATGTGTCGATACCATAGTAGAGAAATGTCTGAAAACATACGAACAACTACCCAAAAAAGGAAAACCTGCCGATGATGAATGGACGGTACTATCTTGCATTGTGAAATATGAAACCGAACATGATACGATCGAAGTATTATCCTTAGGAACTGGATCTAAATGTATTGGTGCTACAAAAATGTCGCCACTCGGAGACTTGCTCAATGACAGTCACGCTGAAGTGTTCGCTCGGCGAGGGCTTATACATTATCTATTCCAAAATATCGAAAAGGCTACCAACAATCTGGATTCTATATTCATTAAAACGGATGGCAAGCTAAAATTAAAAGACAGTATAGAATTTATATTTTATTCTTCACAATTGCCTTGTGGTGACGCATCTATTATACCTAAGAATGGTGAAGAGAAAGAGGACCACTTTGGTGACCTAATCAAGGTTAAAAGAAAGGCAGATGACAGTGACTGTGTTCATGACACTAAAAAACTAAAATTAAGTGATATTCATCGAACCGGTGCAAAATGCCTTTCAAATGCAGAACAGGACCTTAAAATTCCTGGAAAAGATTATCATGTTTTAGGTCAGGTTAGAACTAAGCCTGGAAGAGGTGATAGAACACTATCAGTGTCTTGTAGTGATAAAATAGCTAGGTGGGTTCACCTTGGTATACACGGTGCTCTTTTGGACTTAATATGTGAACCTGTTTGTATAAAACATTTCATATTCGGTGCATCTGTACCATATTGTGAAGAATCATTAAATAGGGCAATTTTAAAAAGGAGTAATGAATTCAATAACACCAGAGCTCCAAAATTTTACCAGTCTTCAATAACATTTTCAGATATAAAATCAGAAGGAAAGTATAGACCTGCTCCAGGTAGCATAGTTTGGATAAATCTTACTAATCCGTAAGTTTGTAAATGTTCAATAACCTAAAAGTTAGTAGTAATGGTACAAAATCAATCATGTGTAGAATATTAATAGATTTTAAATACCATTTAAATGTTGAATCATGAAGTTTTTAAAATCAATAGTATATTTCAAGTAATCCTAGATATTACTTAATTAAATTGAATGTTAATTAAATATTTATTGAATAAAAATAATAAGAACTTAACTTTAAATAAAAAGTAATTAAACTTTAGATCGTAGTATTGTGTCAACAGTGTAACACATATTATTTTTCAAACTGGTATGTGCTTATATAAGCTCACTTAGTAATAGTATTTATTTACTAGTAAGTTCATAGGTTTTATGTTTAATTTTTATAGGATTTTAGAAGTGGCAGTTCAAGGCAGAAAGCTGGGTTTGACAAAAAAAGGAAAGTCAATTTCACCTGACGCATCACTGATTATCAGTAAATACAACATATACAAAACATTTCTTAAATTATTAAATAGAAACAAGGAGTTAAAAGTGTCCATTTTTGGAAATGAAAGTATAGAAAATATACCATACAATAAAATGAAGATAAAATCTAAACAATATAGAGACCGATGGGAAAATCTCAAAGAAAAATTCTTTAGAATCTGGACAGTCAAGGCTGACATGTGGGATTTCTGTGTAAAAATACTCTAGTTTTATTAAATGTTTGATACAGATATTGGTTTCATTTGCTAAATATAAAATTGATATGTGTATGAATGTAAGTCCAATTTATGTATATGAATAGAAGTCAATGTTTTTTTCAGATAATTATAACTTTTCATTATTATTTAGGGACTAACCCCCATATCTTTAGTCGTTCACACGAGCTTAACTCGTCTCGACTCAACCTCCAACACACGTTTTGATATGCTTATTCGTAAAAATAAACTCCACTGAAATGTCCTTGGAAATTTTTCCTCACCGGAGTGGAGTAAATGAACTGTCAAGTCAAGGTACGTCGCGACGTACCTTGAACGTTCCGCAAGGCTGGTTTTCTATCAATGTCCATATAGTATGTGGACCGCAAATGGAAATATATGATATTGTTGTGCATTGACCTGGATCTGTGCATTCTTAATGTACTTCTATTTAATCCCTTATTTCCGATATTTCAAGGTGTAGAGTATGACATCAAATTGCAAAAATCTGCAAAATGGTGGTTAGAATTTATGAGGTCTAACAATAAGGAAATGCACAATTGTACAGGTTTCTTACAATTGTACAGGAGGCTGTATTCGGGATTAGAGTGCAAGCACAGTCACATACGGACAGTTGGATATACTTTGCATTTTTGGGCCACTATGATTAATTATGTCGAGATTAGTGTTAGGTAAATATCATGTATTCTGTTTCTCCACAGTGTATCTTACCTTTTCGTTATTGGCTTTACAGCTGTTTGCCTTTTTTTTTATTGCCTAGATGGGTGGACGAGCTCACATCCCACCTGCGGTTACTGGAGCCCATAGACATCCACAACGTAAATGCGCCACCCACCTTGAGATATAAGTTCTAAGGTCTCAAGTATAGTTATAACGGCTGCCCCACCCTTCAAACCGAAACGCATTACTGCTTCACGGCAGAAATAGGCAGGGCGGTGGTACCCACCCGCGCGGACTCACAAGAGGTCCTACCACCAGTAATTACGCAAATTATAATTTTGCGGGTTTCATTTTTACTACACGATGTTATTCCTTCACCGTAGAAATCAATCGTGAACATTTGTTGAGTACGTATTTCATTACAAAAATTGGTACCTGTCTGAGGTTCGAACACCGGTGCTTCGCTCAACACGAATCACCGGACGTCTTATCCGTTAGGCCACGACGACTTCAAAGCCTCTTCTCTTATCTCCAACAAAAACTTAAAATATTAACACTGCTGTTGCCTGACTGGTGGCACAGTAGTGAGCAGCCCTAGCCGTTGTCCCGGGGGTCGTGAGTTCAATTCCCAAAACGGGCAAACATTTTGTTTGTTTGCTCTTTGTTTAAGTGCTTAATATCTATATAGTTATGTTGTACATTATTTAAATTTATATTATGCATAGTACCAAGAATCTTAATTTGGGGCCAGATGATTAATTTTATTGTTATTAATATTATTTGTACTATCTTATTAATTATACAATATATTAATTTTTTTATTTAATTAAAAATACAATATTTAAAAATAATTAATATAGATAAATTACTGCTGTCTACGAAATTTATTTATTATTATCATTTTACAATGTAAAGTGAATGATTATGAATTCACCAAAAAAATTGTTTATGGTTGTTGTGTATGATAATAATATGGTATGGATGATATGAGAATGGGAATTATATCTTGCAGACTGTCTGGTAATAAGTAGTAGCTAGTGAGCACGCAGTCGATATCTCAGTTGTTTTAATATCGGTCAAACCTATATTAATGCCCATTGATGTTTTCCGACATAAATGGGTAAGACCGGCGACTTACACTTACCTAAAACACACTTTGACATCAATAAATTCTTAAATTTATACATTTAGAAATAATTATACAAACCTCAAGATTCAATCCATTGCAAAATTGAAATTCGCCGATGGTATGAGTACACCGGGCGAATAGTAGAAAAAGAAGTGAAAACATATTTGGCTACGAATCAATAAGTCTACAGAGGGTCTACATTATTGGCCAATAGGTCATAGCGAATATTTTAATTTTGTCAATTGATTTGACATCGCAGAACGAGGTATTCTTCTAATTTTTTTTTCCCTACCTATCCTGATAGCCTTGAGAGGCTATTTCAGCTTTACCCTAGCGTGTAGGTGAGCTCACGGGGCTCAAACCGGAGTGGTGCTAACTCTGGCCTTAGCAAGAGCAGTGTTTTGCAGAATCTACCACCGGATCGGAAACGCGACCCACTGAGAAGATCCGGCGAGAAATTCAGTGGGCTGCGTCGGTGGGTTAATTCGCTCGTAGAGCCCTTCGTGGCAAGCGACGGGTTCGTCGAGGATGGTGATCGGGCAATAAAATCATATTAATCGACACCTAGAACAAAAACGATACTTTTATACAGCCGATCTGTACGTATTCGTACCATTGCTATCGTGTATAATAATGTTAAAGCTTAGTAGTCGTCGTGGCCTGACGGATAAGACGTCCGGTGCATTCGTGTTGAAGCGATGCATCGGTGTTCGAATCCCGCAGGCGGGTACCAATTTTGTTAATGAAATACGTACTCAACAATATTTTTTTTTATTGCCTTTGTAGGCAGACGAGCATACGGCCCACCTGATGGTAAGTGGTCACCGTCGCTCATGGACGTCAGCAATGCCAGGGGCAGAGCCAAACCGCTGCCTACCATGTTCACGATTAACTTCCACGGTGAAGGAATAACATCGTGTAATCAAAATGAAACCCGCAAAATTATAATTTGCGTAATGACTGGTGGTAGGACCTCTTGTGAGTCCGCACGAGTAGGTACCACCATCCTGCCTATTTCTGCCGTGAATCAGTAATGCGTTTTGGTTTAAAGGGTGGGGCAGCCGTTGTACTGTTAAAAGTGAGACCTTACAAGTCATGTCTTGAGGTGGGTGGCGGCATTTATGTTGTACCTAGATGTCTATGGGCTTCGGTTACCAATTAACTCCAGGTGGGCCGTGAGCTCATCCACCCATCTAAGCTATAAAAAAAAAGAAGGAAGACACCTATGAAGGAAGCGTAAATACGGATCTTTTACTGTACTAACTTTTGTTGTTGGGGTACTGTTTGGTAGTTATATCCGTTTAGATATAATAGAAGGCTTCGGAGGCATCATATAATGCAGCCGAGTTTGACAACAGAAAATGGGGACTATTTTAAAATTCATTTGCATACTAATTTATTGCGCGACCACAAACTGAACGGGTACAGTTTTGACAGAGATTACGTGACAACATTTAGGATTATTAGCGTCATAATGCTGTCCAGTAATCGGTTCACTCCTATACTGTCAATGTTCTGATCGCTTATTTCGTGGCCGCAAAAGTACCGGATAGTCGACGTTTATTAATTACCTCGTATTTTGCATTCATTAAGTGATGAAATTTTAACGTTAGCCTACTTATCATCTGCTACCTAGTCGCATTTGCTGCCAGTTTAGAAATCTGTCTCTTCTGACATTTAAGTAAGTGCAATTCGTTATTGCTTATTATGTTGATGTGGTGGGAATACAATCGGTAGGGCGAAGGCCGTTGCGTAAACCGCTTGATGGTACCAATTCATTTGTTTAGGTACTTATTAGTCAATTTCATTTTGCTGTAATGTTTGCAGATAAACATACATACATTATTAGTAGATATTAAATAAACTAAACTGTGATGGAAGTGTTTTGTTTAAAGAAAAACCACATCCTATATACCATGCAGCCAATTCGATCCTTAGTGAAAATCTAATTAAATTCAAAATTTGTTTACTAGTAGTTTATTAACCAAGGGTATTATAATTTTGAGGTGTTCGCTTACATGTTGTTCCATGGAGGTTCGTAGTTTGTTCGCTCGTTATTAAAAAGTATCTAATAGAACCAGAACCACTTTTTATTCTTACTTTATAGGATTTATTAGAAAAAAAAACTGATTTTAAATTGATTGGACATATATTAAGTGTATAATCTATGGGACAGACGAATAATGACAAAAGTTGTGTGTCCAATTGTGCCAATATATATGTGATTTTGACTATTTTATTTAAAGTACAGAATAAATATAAAAGTACAAAAATAAAATTGAAAATCCATAAAATCTACGTGACCTTAAAGCTACAGGATCCTTGGCCGCTTAAGAGCATTAAAATTTAAAGTAAAACAAATGGGTTCGCATCCAGCCTCGCCCACACACACGGAACGGATTAATAATAATTGATTACGGATTGTTTTTCGGGTTCTTGACGTTGATATTTTTGTGTAGTCCGAGATCAGTAGGCTTATTTATTGATCGACCTTCAACATCTAAAGAAGCAATTGCGGTTCTAAAAAACTACAGATTAGAATTTTTTTTATGTACTATACTTTATCACATAAAATTCGAATTGAAGCAACTACAAAAAAAAATCCAACAGGATTTTCTAGAGCACGCCAACGTTCTCATAAAATATTACGTACATACATTTTTCATTGTCAGTATCTTTTTTCGATACTAAAAACTGCAGGATTCTTGTTAATTTTCAGTAAGTTAGATAACTGATATTTTAGCAGGTATGTATTCGAATGTTAAACTTTAACGTATTGCTTAAACCAGGATCATGTAAATAATAGGCTGAGTAGTTCCAATAATAGCACAGCTGTTGCAGTCCTTAGTTTATATGTGAATTCTATTATGTCGCTGCTTTGTCGTATCGATGCGAATTAATGGATTCGTCAAGCTTCACCGTTCACTCACTATATAGCTTTCTACCGGAAGATAATTAAAAAATAAAATTTAGTATTTACATAAAGGTGAATAAATAGCGTTTATCACGTTTATACATCCGAACTGCGCAATGAAGAAAATTACTAATATGTCTCAAGATCCGCAATCTGTTGATGTTTGAAATGCAACACGTGCATTTTAACCGTTTACAAGAAGTTCTCGTTTAATCAGCTTAACCACGTGCTCTAAATGAAAACAGTTTTACAAGTATTTCGTTTTCCTACGTCAATTCAGTTTGGCTTATCTCAAATATAAGACG